CTTCCGATCTTTTATATAAGAAATAAGTGAGTGCACTTTTTAATTCTAATTATATGAAATAAATACTTACTTTAAGATCTATTAATTGTTAATTTATTTTTATACACTCATACAAGTGAATGCATTTATTTATCTATTAATAATACAAGTTATATTCATCTGTAAAAACAAGTTATTTCTTGAATTAGACTAGATGTTTTTAATACAGTTACTATTTAAATCAATCAATTGAAAGAATATTTTTTTTGAAATAAAATTTAATTATTTGATATCATTAATAAAAATTAACTATCTTGATTGACCACTTTTATTGATTTTGATAATTTAATTATTTATTTCTTTATTGTATATGTATCATTTATTATAATTTTTTTGTTATAAATACTAAATATTTAACCTTTGCAAAACACATGTTAAAATAGTAATTTATAATTTTAAAAAGTTATATAACTTTTTTTTTGTATTTATCTCTATTTACACATCGGTTAATATATTTATTGATAATATTGAAATAAATATAAAGATTAAAATTACTATTGTATAAATTATTATACTTATATAATTGTTTTATGATATTATCTCGTAAAAAAAAAGAAAATAAAAGAAAAAAATCGGTGGAATCTGTTAAATAGAAAATGCCATAAATTAGAAAGCCAAAAGGTCGTCCTAAGTTATCGCCATCACGGGAATGTGGAATATGGGGAAAAAAAAAGTCCAAGAGGTGTGAGTGCGTGACATCACATTATTATATACAATTTTTTTTTAATTTTTTATAAACAATGCTAATCCTATACGTATTTCTACAAATACTATTTCTCTTTTAAAAAAACAAAAACAAAAACATATACTCTTATATATTCAAGTTAATTCATATAATATTTGACTTTATGAATAAAATAGATTACATTTTTATTTATTACATTAGAAATAAAGTTAAGGGCATTTCATTTACTGCGATTTGACAAGGAACACCGACACAGACAACCACCTCCCAGGTTATGAATCACCAAAAATTCCACAATTAAATTTAATTTGTGTCTTTTCCAAATTCAACCCTCATCCTCCAAAGGCCCTCCAATTTCATTTTTCAACATAAATCTTGTGTCATAACTTGAAGGATAGAAGCACTCCATTATAATACGGATGGAAACAATGATTAGGAAATAAACATTAGTTATGGAAAATAATATTTTCATGATATCAGATTTCAGTGTCAGAATCCTTGTTCACTTAAGTTGTTGAAAAGAATTTATATTTCCCAATTTTGAACACATTCATTGTAAATCTGTAATACATATTGAATTATTAACTAAACAATGGGTTACATTAAATTATTATTAGAGTTAAAAAGATTTTGCTTAAAAAAGAATAAATGAGTGCATGTGTTTAGGGGCAGGTGTGAAGTGTGTATGATCCATCTCATCTCTCCGCGTAAACGACTTTATTGAAAGGGTGGAGGAGTGAGTGCCAACTAAGTTAAAAAAAATAATTAACGAGCGTCTTAGGCTCCTTTTTGGTCGAGAAAGAAAAGACACGTAATATTTGAAAGTATAGATTAAATAAAAAAAGAAAGAAAGCGAGTAAGGAAGGAAGAGGGATAGAGAATCTGGTGGGGTTAGAGCTGTGATATAGCTGTCGTTTTGATGCATTATTTCATCCCCACTCTCTCATATACGCTCCTCCACGCCACACACAGTTCCAAAATCCCTAGCCTACACAACACACACTCTTTCTCTTTCTCTTACCCTAGCAGTAGCAGATCTCAATTTGCATTTGCATTTGCATTTGTGGATGCATCAGATGCCGCATGTGAGATGAGGAAGAAAACCTTTTCCCACGTCTCACTCTCTCTTCTCTTCCTCTTCTTCTTCCTCTTCCTAGTACCACACACTCTCTGTGCCTCCGCAGCAATCTCGCACAATGGACCTCTCACCGACGCCCAAGCCACCTACATCAAGCACCGTCAGCTTCTCTACTACAAGGACGACTTCGGCGACAGAGGGGAGAACGTGACCGTAGATCCTTCCTTTGTCTTCCCCAATGATCGATTACGAAACGCCTACATAGCTTTGCAAGCGTGGAAGCAAGCCATTCTCTCCGATCCAAACAACCTCACGCACAACTGGCTGGGACCCAATGTCTGCAACTACACCTTCGTCTTCTGCGCCCCTGCGCCGGACAATCCTAAGATCCTCACCGTCGCCGGAATCGACCTCAACCACGGCGACATTGCCGGATACTTGCCGGAGGAGCTCGGTTTGTTGACGGACCTGGCGCTGTTGCACATCAACAGCAACCGCTTCTGCGGCACCCTGCCGCACAAGTTCGAACGGTTAAAGCTCCTCTTCGAGTTGGATCTCAGCAACAACCGCTTCGCTGGCAAGTTCCCCGACGTGGTGCTGCGTCTGCCGCAGCTCAAGTTTCTAGATCTGAGGTTTAACGAATTCGAAGGGACGGTGCCCAAGGAGCTCTTCGACAAGGACCTGGACGCGATCTTCATCAACCACAACCGCTTCGTCTTCGACCTGCCGGACAATTTCGGAAACTCGCCGGTGTCGGTGATTGTGCTGGCCAACAACCGCTTCCACGGATGCGTGCCGGCGGGAATCGGCAACATGACGAGGCTGAACGAGATTATTCTGATGAACAACAATTTCAGGTCGTGTCTCCCGGAGGAGGTAGGGTTGCTGAAGAATCTGACGGTGTTCGATGTGAGCTTTAACCAGTTGCTAGGGCCGTTGCCGGAGGCCATTGGAAGCGCGGTGAGTTTGGAGCAGCTGAATGTGGCGCATAACTTGCTGTCGGGGAACATTCCTGACAGCATTTGTAAGCTTCCCAATCTGCAGAACTTTACTTACTCTTATAACTTCTTCACCGGCGAGCCACCGCGGTGTCTGGCTCTGCCGGCCTTTGACGACCGCCGGAACTGCTTGCCCAGCAGGCCCTTCCAGCGCTCTGCTGGACAATGTAAGTCCTTTTTGTCGCATCCTGTCGATTGCAAGTCTTTCAGCTGTAAGCCTTTTGTTCCTTCGTTGCCTCCTCCTCCTCCACCCTCGCCCCCGCCCCCACTCTATCTCTCTCCACATTCTCCCCCACCACCCCCGCTCTATTCACCGCCGCCTCCACCTCCTGTGTACTCACCACAGCCCCCACCTCCAGTCTATTCACCGCCACCACCACCACCGTCACC